TAATTTATTTTACTTTATCTGTTTATTTATTTTATATTATTTTTATTTTAATTTACTTGTAACTCATCTGATTTTAGCTCATTTTATTTTTTTTATTATTTTTTTTTATTTTATTTTATTTTATCCATTTTATTTTACTTAACTTATTTTTATTTTATTGCCATTTTATTTTTATTTTTTTTTTATTTTTTTTTTTATATTTTTGTTTTACTTTTAATTTATTTTTATTTATTTCATGTAATTTTATTTTATTTCATTTTTTCGTTTTATGTTATAGTATTTTATTCTCCTTTATATATTATATGTATATATTTATATTATTTAACTTAATTGAATTTTATTTATATTAATTTCGTTTATAGTATTTTATATTTATTATATTTGCTTGCATTTTTTTTTTTAATTCATTTTGTTTTATTTTATTTTATTTGGTTTGTTTTAGTTTATTTTTATTTCGTATTTTTTATGATATGTTCTTTACTTTATTATATATAATATATTTGTTATATTTATTATTATTATTCTATTTTACTTTTAATTTTTTTTTAATTTTTTTGTTAATTTATCTTTTTTTATTTATTCTTTTATATAATTTGTTTTGCTTTTAATTTATTTTATTTATTATATTTTATTTTATTTTTTTTAAATTGTATTTTATAATACTTTCTTCTCGTTTATTTTATTTAATTTTAAATTAATTTATTTATATTATTTTAGCTTATAATATTTTATATTTATTTAATTTGTTTAAAATTTATTTTATTTTTAATTCATCTTATTTTATTTGGTTGATTTTAATTCAGGTTATTTTAGTTTATATTACATTATTTTACTTTATGATTTGTTTTTTATTTTATTATATTTAATATTTTTGTTATATTTATTATTATTATTCTATTTTATTTCTTTACTTATGTAATTTTATATTTTAATTTATTTTATTTTATTTTGCTATGTTGTTGAATTTTTTATTCCCTTATTTTGTTATCTCCTTCTTCGTATTTACTTTATTTTAGCGTTTATTTGCAAACAATTATGTCCATTCACACTTTTAATGCAATTAACGCCTTGCACTTGCTTTCCACGAGCATTGGCCTCGACTGAGTACGATTGATGCTGCATAATATTTGTACATATGTACAATACATACATACGACTTCTTATGCAATGCAAGTGCACTGAAGAAATAAGTTCCTTCATAAAAGTAAATACTTGCATACATATACATACATATGTGTATGTGTATGGGCATGAAAGTATTTGAAAAATACCGTTTGACCTACTGACTTCGCTGATTTTTTATTCCCATCTTCACACGCACTCTTTCCCTTGTGTTTATTTTGAAATATTAATTATAATTTATTTTTCTTTCGTTAAAAATTAATTTGCTGATTTGATATTGGATTTCGTTTTTAAAAATATTTTTTTCTATTATTTCTACTTTTCCCTGATATTTACTGTGCGCTAAGTAAATATTGTGGAGTATTTGTTTATATATTTATGTGAATCAAATTGTCATTGATAGTTATGCATTTTCCATGTTATTTTTGTTTACATAATTTATGCATTTCTTACGCGGCCTTCTCGCCATAAGTAGGCGCTGTTTATCTGGAATCTATGGAAATATGCTTTATGCGCGTGACCCTGAGTGGCATTATAACCGAAAGAATAAATGCGTAGCTTTGGTGTGATTCACCCATAGTTGTTGTCTCTCTTTTTATTTCATGCCATCAATGACAGATTGGTTGATACTTTCGTCATTAGATTTATTGAAGGCTCATTAATTATCTCGAGTAATATAGTAAAAGTGCGCTAAAATATATGTAAGACTTTTATATGGATCAGGTAAAAAGTTATCCATTATTTTTGCAATAAATGGCTTAGTGATAATTAAAACTAAAATAAGTTATCTACTATAGTTTACTCTTTCGGTGATCATTATAAACGTATTTCTCAAAAAGAAAAAAAACATAAAATATTTAATGAAATCCTTAAAATTGCATTAATTAATTGTTGCTCGCTTACTAAGCTCAAGCTTAATGGGAGAAGACGGTACAAAAATTCAAGTAAAAATACTAAAACTAATTATGTAATGTAATAATATGTAATTATTTGTATTCTAAAAATAAGCAATTAAAAGCTAATTTTACAGCGTAAAACTTTTATGCGCAGAATTTCATTAACAAGTAGATATACCGGCATACATATGGCAAGGAAATGTATTTTCCATAAAAAAGTATATAAGCAAAAATGTGAAAAGTCGAATTAGCACAATTTCTTGAAGTTAAAAGTAAACAAAGAAAAAAATCACAAGATATTCAAAATAGATACGTGTGAAGCAACGCGCCGCTAATTAAAAAAACATGCATTCTTAATAATGAAAAAATACATAAAACTTCCTGTGTGCAATTAGGCAAGCCAGGTGTGACTCACTTAGTGCCCATAATTGGTCACCTTCCCAGCAAATTAACGTAATTGGTATATACGTATAAATTATTTGTGAAAAACAAACAAATGTATGTGCAAAGGGGAGTGAGAGATAATTTTATGTTTTACATACAGACATAACACACTCATCATAAGAGAAATATACAATAAAAATAAATAATATGTAATAAAATTAAATTAAATCAAATTAAATTAAAAAAATGAAAATACGTGTAAACAAAATAATGTGAATAAAATAGGTAATAAATAATATTGAATAAAAAAATTAAAATAAAAATAAAAGATAAAGATTATACTAAAAAATAAAAAAAAAACATAATGAATTTTAAAAAACAAAATAAAAAGAATTAAATTAAAAAGAATGAAAATAAAATAAATTGAAATTAAAGAGCGAAAAAAATAAGAAAATTTACTTATTTAAATACAGCAAAATCAAATGGACTAAAATAAACCAATTTGAGAGAATATATAATAATAATAAAAATTAAACTACATAAGTTTAAATTAATTAAAAAAGTTAAATTTAATTAAAAGCAGTTACGTTGAACAAAAAAAAAATAAAATAAAATAATTAAATGAAAAGATATTTGAATTAAAAAGATAATAAAATAAAATATAATGAAACAAGAAAATATAGATAAATACAAATATTAAATGGATTTAACAAAAAAATAATTACGATTAAATAGTATAAAAAAATAAAATAAAAAAATAAAATAAATTTTTAATAAAATAAATTAAAATAGGAAAAAATATATGAAAGGAAAGGATAAGAAATAAAATAAATTAAACTGAATAAATAAACATAAGATAAAAAATTAATTAAATAAAATAATATAAAATAATATAAATAAAATTAAAATAAAAAATAAAATAAATTGGAACAAAAAAATAAATTGAGGTAAAAATTAATAAAGCAAAGAAATAAAAATATTAAATAAAATACATTAAAAAATAAAAAGCAATAAAATTATATAAAAATAATAATATAAAAAATTTAGAAATAAAATAAATAATAAAATATTAAAAAAAAAATCAAATAAAATAAAAAAATAAAATTAATTAAAATAACTAAAAAAAATATATAAAATAAATCAAGTAAAAGAAAAGAGAACAAATAAAGTAGAATAAATTAAAATAAAATGAAATAAAATAAATAGAATAAAATATTAAATATATACAAATATATATATAATCTAAAATTATAAATAAAATAAAAAAAAATTAAATTACAATAAAATAAATCAAATCATATAATAAAAAAAAAATTAAAACTATTTTAAAATGAAAGTATAAAATATAATTAATAACTCAAGTAACAAATCATCCAATATGTTTGCATTAAATTGAAGGCTTCATTTGTCATATGTAGTTAGAATTATCCGATTTACGTGAAATATACACCGTTACGCTCGATACCTTTGTGCCATGTTGAAGGTAATACTATTATTAGAAACACTTGTCCTTATTGGCAAAAAAGAAATTAGGACAATTGATTTTCACAGGCTTCTGTTGAGGCCAATACTTCTCTAGACAAATCCTTCGCCATAGATGGTAAACACTTAAAGCGAGCTCCGGACTATAAGGTGGAAGCATAACAACCTTCCAATCCGGAGCTTCTTACGAGTCACGAACGATATGTTTGCTATGGTGTTTTGCTGCTGAAACCCAATTACCCTCCTGTGGGTCAAATTTGGGTGCATTCTGGGTATTTGTTACCTTCATACGGTCCATAATAGCTGGCAGTAGAGGTCCGAATTAAAAGTTTGGTCTTAGGGAAGTAGCACATAGTAGATGATTCCTTATCAATACCACAAAAACATACAATAAAGTCTTCCTGGCCGCCAACCCATCCTTGCTTGGAGACCATTTCTGCAGACTTACTGACCTTCGAACATGGATATTTTCATTTGGCGTTCCACTTTTCATCACCAGTCACCATCCGCTTCAGAAATGGTTCGATTTTATTACGACACAGCAGCGATTCGCTAATGGAAATTCGAACCCACACATCGAGCTTCTTTCTTCAGCGCTTTCCAGGTCATTCTAAACTATTTCTTTGTTTAATAAATAATGTAAAATGTTTAGCGACAGGGAAATCGAAACAGGTGATCGCATGATGGTCAGACTTGATGATTTCCATTTTTTTTAATGACGTTTTCGATAATTGGCCTTCCACACCATCAAATTTGCCGGAAAAAAAGATCGACGAAGCCAAAACTGTGCATGACTGACCGTTACAGTACCAGCACCATTCAGCTGTCTGACTTACGTTTTCGATTAGGTACTCTAATGTAAGGCCTTCGCTTCTTCTTCAATATCGTTGTTGTAAACAGGTATTCAGATTCAGCTTTACATATTTTACGAAAATAGTTCTGGAAGTAAATATTATGCCAACCTAGATATTTATTTTTATTCTAGATGTATGTCTTGTGTTGTTCTATTTACTTATTTTTTGTTGTATAAGAAATTAAATATTCAAACAAAAGCATCTCAAGTTTCAAAAATCTTATTAAAATATCTGAAATCTCTCTATTTTCAATTCTTTTCAGAGCTCCATCCAACACAATTGCTGAGTTAATTGCTTCAAGCATTTTTGTGACTAAATAAAACTTGGATTAAATTTTGTAACCAACAGCAAAAACAACAAAAAAAAAGCAACAACATCAAGTAGCTGCAGTTAAGCAGTAAGAAAAGACCAGAAGCAACAGGAAAGACGACATAGCGGAACAACGCCATCGTCACATGATGCCAACAACAACAATAGCTGCTGGGCGCCAACAGTGAGAGAATATAAATCAAATGCAAGTGAAAATTAGCAAAAAGGAAAAACAAATTACAACAGCAACAATATTAAAAAAAAATAGAGTGAATTAAAGAAAGTGCAGCAATTAAGGCAAGAGTAAATCGGCAAATGATACCAAAAAAAATTATTAAAAAAAAAATTAAAGAAAGCAAAGAAAGTGGGAAATCTCAAGCAAATATTTAAAAGTGTATTAATAATATAATACAAATTTGAGAAATTAACAACAACAAACATTTTATAAAATTTTCTATCTTAAATTGCATATTTAGAGCAACAACAACAAATAAATTAGAAATGTTGTAATGCCGAAAAATAATGCAAAAAAAAAAAAATTAAAAAATATATGCGAGTTATAAAAAACAATGAAAAAGACTTTGAAAGTTAAAAAAAAATATTAAAAACCAATATTTTGAGAAACAAAAGTCTAAAGTACCCAAAAATATCAGAGAAAACTGTTCGAAAAACACGCAAGGAATAAAATGAAATAAAAAAATATAACAATAAAATTAAAAAAATAAGATCAAAAATAAAAATATTCATACAAAAAAAAAACAAGTAACAAAATACAAATAAAAAATTATATAATTATAAAAAAATGATAAAGAGATAAAATTAGAATGACATAATTAAGTAAAAAAATAAAATTTAAATAAAAATAAAATATAACAATAATTAAAAGTAATAAAACTAAATAAATATATAAAATATGAAAAAGTATTATAAATAATAATAATAAAAAATTATTTATTTAATAAAAAGTATTACAAAATAAATAAAAATTTTATAAATTAATTAAATTAAATACAAAAAATAATAAAAATTAAGTGAAATTAAACAAGTCTAGAAGCGTAAAAAAATTTATGTAAGAAAAAGCTAAAATAAAAACAATAAAATACTAAAAATTAAATGAAAATAAAATAAATAAAAATCTAGAAATAAAAGAGTGAATAAAGGTAATATTAAAAAAAGAAAGAAAAAAAATGAAAATTAAAAAATAATAGAAAAAAGTAAAATTAAAAATAAAAATTGAAAGAGGTAAACAAAAAAAATAATAAATAAAAACAATAAAGTCAAACTAAAAGAAAATTAGCATTAAAATCAACAAAAAAAAATATTAATGAAAAAATTCAATTAATTAAAATAAAAATAGAAACTAAAAAAATTACACAAATAAGAAAATTTAATTAATAAAAAAGTATAAAAAAGTAAATAAATAAAACTGTACCCCAATTTTCGCAAAAAACCTATAACAATCACAACAAAATGGATAAGAAAAATAAAACGAAATCAAAATCGAAACCAAAAAAATTGAAATCAAACAAAGAGTCGAGCACCGCGTTGGATGTGGACTTATGGGAGGTGAGTAAGGGAAATTAAAACATTTAATTTACTAGATTGAAAATAAGAAGCCAAATATGATATGATAATATAATTGAAAAAAAATTGAAATTAAAAGCCAGTTGAAAAAAGTTTAAAAAAGTCATAATTACAAAACATTCAAAAAACATTTGAACAAAAAAATTTTTTAAACATAAATTGACACATTAGTTGAAATTTTAATTCTAATTTGAGGCCAGTTGACAAAAATCGAAGAAATCATAATTACAAAATATTCAAAATTAATTTATAAAAATTTAAAAATTTCGAAAATAATTATGTATTTAAAAAAAAAAAAATTTAAACATGAATTGAAACATTAGTTGAAATTGTAATTGAAATTTAAAGCCAGTTGAAAAAAATCGAAAAAATCTTAATTACAAAAGATTCCAAATATATTTAAAGAAATTTGAAATTTCGAAAAAAGTATGTATTTTGAAAAAAAGTATGTTTAAACATAAATTGAAACATTAGTTGAAATTTTAATTAAAATTTGAAGCCAGTTCACAAAAATCGAAAAAATCATAATTACAAAACATTCAAAACCAATTTTTAATTTTGAAAATAAATATGTATTTAGAAAAAGAAATTATAAATATAAATTGAAAAAGCCGTGACTAAAAATACAATAAAAAAAATTAGAAAATAATGAAAAAAATGAATTTTGAATAAAAATTTAAGCAAGTTTTTTAAACTTAGAAGAAAAATTTTTATATTTCCAATTTAAAAAAAAATTATTTTTAATTTCATAATCAAAAGAAAATATTAGATTTTTTAATAATGAAATAATAAAATATTTAAATAAGGGTCATAAATATTAGTCATTAATACAAAAAAATAGGAAAAATCATAATTAATAAAAATAAATTTGAAAAATGTTTTAATAGAAATATGTAAATTTACTTCAACTTCCTAATAAATGTTTTTTTTTATTATTTCCTCTCAAGTACCCACTACCCAATACCCTTTCGCCCGCCTTGAAGTGGCATAACGAAGGCACTCATTTTTTTTTACCAAAATACACTTCAAAGAATTGCAAAGGTTCATTTAACTACACACTTTGTTCGGTTGCTACATGACTTTTCAAGTGCTCTACTGAGGGGCACTTTAAAATACACAACTTTTATCTTCACGCCGACAGCTAACGAATCGCGAAGCTGTTAAAATATGTAAAGTTTATTTGGCAGTTATTTATATAGCCAAGTTAACCGCCTTCAAGCGCCTTCAAAACTATAAACTTATTCTTTCATATGCGTTGGGTGGCAATTGGATTTTCTTCTTTTTTTTTAAAAAAAGGTACTTAACATTTTTTATGTAAATTACTGTAGTGCTAAGAGAGAATGAGCCAAAAAAAAGAATGAAAGAAGATTTTTTTAGTAATTGAGTATGAAAATTGCAATCATGGCAAGGGAAAAGGAAAGAATTACAGAGTGAAAAGCTATATGCCATTCATGAGTGGCTGCTTTTCGACTTTTAGTTGTAACGAAAATAATTTATATAATGAAAGTTGTCTAATATCTCAGTATTAAGTTGTTGAAAAATTCGAAATTTCATTTGAACATAATTTCAACAACAAAATTTCATTTCAACATAATCAGTTGGATGACAATTGCATATTAAAAACAAACGAATTGGTTGATTTTCACTTAAAAATTCATTAAATTATATTTGTTTATGTAGAATAGCTTTTTTCCAATTTTCCCTTGACCTTATATGAGTTTTTTGAACAAAAACTGCATTTTTGAGCATTTAGTTGTATGGCAGCTAAAAGTTATAATCATAGCATTACGTATATTTTTATAGCTAATAGTCTATGTATGTCATGTGTGAGATATGTTGAGTGTCAGACTACTAGATTCATAACTGAATGAGTTAGAACGCAAAAACTAATTTTTGAACAGTCGATTGTATGGGAGCTATAAGTTAAGGTCACCGGAATACGAAGATTTTTAATGTCAGCACTTTATCTTTAGCAACTTTAAAAAATACAAAATTTCATACCTTTACCTCTATAATTAATTGAGTTAAAGCTCAAAAACTAATTTTTGAAGAGTCGGTTGTATGGCAGCTATATGCTATAGTATTCTGATAACGATAATTTTCACACTTACGAGTCTTCATGTGATATTCATGCGTTATGCCGAGTTTTAAATTTTCAGCTTTATAACTGAAGAAGTTATGACTCAAAAATTAGTTTTTTAACTGTCGTTTGTGTGTCAGTCATCTGTTAAAAATATTTTATATGATTGATGTCAATTGATGTCACTCCACATAGAGACAAAATACTAAATTTCTTCAACTCTTTCGCTCATATGCGAGTTTTCTGCGAAAAAAATGTATTTTTGAATAAGTAGTTATATGGCAACTCTATGTTATAGTGGTACGAATTTAATGCTCTTCACTGTTAACACTCTATATGTGATAAGTATGCGATGGATAAAATTTCACATACTTAACTTCTCAAGTCTAAGAGTTAGTGTCTAAATACCGGTTTTTTAATGGACGTTTGTATGGTAGCTCTGTGTGAAAACGTTCAAAATCAATGATTTCAATATTAAAAAATATTTCACTTGCCATGAATGCAAAATACCATATTTCATAAACTTAATAGCTCAAATGTGAGTTTTCTGCAGTAAAAATGCTTTTTTGAACAGTAAGTTGTATGACAGCTATACGTTATAGTAATGCAATTTCAATGATTTTCACTTTCAATAGTTTAAGCGAGATTTGTATACGACTTACAAAATTTCATGATCCTAGCTACTTAACTAAAGAAGTTATAACTCAAAAACCAATTTTTGAACAGAAGGTTGTATGGCAGCTTTACGTTATAGTAATGCGATTTCAATGATTTTCAGTGTCATAAGTCTGCTCATATCATAAAAGTAATTTGCCAAGTAACATACACATAGCTTCCTAATTAAAGGAGTTACGACCCAAAATGTAGTTTTTGAAAAGTCAAAGAGCAAAAATTTTGTTAGTTGATCGGCTTTTATTTATCCTAGCATTTTACGCGCGTGAGAGGTATAAAAATCAACCAAAAAAATTGCCCAACGAAGCTCTCAAGTGCGACAAACAATCAAGAAGCTAACAGACACAGTAGAGTACAAATCAAAGTGAAGGTTGAGGTAAACGAGCTAACGGTTTTTACTGTTCTTTTGTGTAGTTTTCCTTTCAGTTTTTTCTCCCTCACTTATAGTCTACTCGGCCTCACATTTGGCACTAAATTATGGTTGAATTGTGAAATGAAAACTTGCTATCAACTTGTTTAAGCGCGCATCATTAAGCTAAATTGTAAACGCCGTGCGCGCCAACTTCCGGTTTCCCATTCTTCCGTGTCTCCTTTCACGCGGCTATCCTTCTTTCCGTGTATACCCTACTTCGTTAGCCGAACTATCGTTTAAACAGCGGTAGTTCGAGCTAACAAAAAAGGGTATACTTAAACACAATCTTTCCAACCACCTACGCGCGCGCACGGCGTATTTTATCGCGGCATCTCCAGTGTTATAGTTTGTGAAACCAATAATAATTATATAAACAGAAAAAATAATTAATTAACAAATAATAAGTAATTAAATAAAAAATAAATTACTTAAAGTGTTTGTGCACCAAAAACAAAAAATAAACATCTTTCCTTTTACTTTTCACGGCCTTAAAGCCAGCAACTTAAGGCGCGTAAATACAACTGACCGGCGTACAGATGGATGAATAGACGGTTGAAGGGGAGAAAGAAAGTGTCGCGCCTGTTGTGTGTTTTTGACTGGATTTTCGTTTGGCTGTGTGTGTGTGTGTGTGTGTGTGTGTGTGCTTGCGCCTCAATGTTTAGTTCGCTTTTTGGCATTTAGTCATGGACCACTTTTGGCGTCAAGCCAAATTGCTGTTATTGTGCATCTCTTCAGTCTCTTTACGCTTTATTTTTCTTCGGTACATAATTTTCAATGCTCCGCACTGGGCCTGTCGGTTTCTTGCCCAACACTGAGTGACTTTGAAAATTAGTGCAGCCTCAGCGTAATTTTTCTTTCATTTCACTTTTTCTACTTCTCTATAGTTTTTTGTTTGTGTGCTTATTTGCTAGTACTCGCTTGTTGTTGTTGTAGTGTTAACGCCTTCCAAAGTGTCAACGACAAGTGTTACCAATTTGATGGCCAAAAGCAACATGATTGCGCCGGATGGCGGTAGTTGGTCGTACACTTGCCCTTAATATTTCTCTGTAGTTGTTGGTATTTTTTTATGCGCTGTTGTTGTTGTTTTTATTGTATATTTTTATTTTAATATTTTCCTTTATTCTACATCCTTTTATGTGAAGTAGCTTTTGTGCCGCCAATTTTAGTCTTTGTCAAAGGAGAAATCAAAAGAACAACAAAAAATAGAAAAGAAAGCATGTTTTTGTGTATCCATGTCTGCCACGCCGCCATGTTTGCTTCTGCATACCTTACAACAGAAAACTATTCAGTTGCTTCTCTACCTTCATCTCCTTACTTCCTGTCTGACTTATCTCTTGTCTCCTTTTGTCTTCACATTTCATATAATACTTTAATTTTTTTTAATTATTTAATTTAATTTCTTTTTTATTCTTATAAGTTTTTTTAATTTAGTTTTATTTTATTTTAATTAATTTCATTTCAATTTCTTTTTTATTTTTATTATTTTTTTTCTTTGGGTCTATTTGTTATTTTTTTATTTTATTTAATATTTTATAGAGTTAATTTTTTTTAATATTATTTCATTTTATTTTATTTTAATTTACTTTATTTCTTTTTTTATTTTTTTATTACATTATATTTTATTTCATTTTTTATCTTATTGTATTTTATATTAAATTATATTAACCTTTCTCGGCATATGCTTATTAACTTTCCTCTCATACCTTCTTCACCTCTGATTTTCTTTTATATTCGTAATTATTTCACTTGTTCCACACTACACATTTCTCACCATGAATGTCGGATAAAAACCGTTTGACCTCTACCCTTCACGTCAAGGTTGTTTACCTTGAATTCCGCTGCTCACTCTCTCTCACTCGTTATTTGTTTGTTGTTTTTTACCTTATCGGCGTCAGTCTCTCACTCGCGTTGTTTAATTCCTTCTTTTCTTTGTTCATGACATTCAAGTTCAAGTTTTCCTAATCTTAATTGTTTTCGTTTATTGTAAGCAATTTCTTATTTTATTTATTTTATTGAAATAAAAATTGAAAGGCTTAAAGGTCACTGCCGCCATGAGTGGTATTTAGTTGGAAAATGTTGAACGGATGTACAAATTATTTGTGAGGGACGACACTTTTTTTGTAATCGAAAAGTAAAAAAGGACAATCTTTTTGCTCCGACTGTTTGTCTTTTCGTCTTCTTTGTTGAATAGGAGAGAAGAGGCTTACGCTTCAAAGAGGTTAGCTACGTCTACATCGTCGAGTGCCCTTAGAGAGAGGTCCGGAAAACGAGATTTTTTAAATACTTCGGATCAGAGAGGGAGAAAGTGGTTTTATTATTATTTCATGTAAGACATACGTACAGTTGATTCTAAGCCACTCCTGAAAGATCAATGGATTCATATGTAGAGCTTTAATTGCGTGACAGAAATACATTCGGAGAACTTCACCTTTCCTTCCTAGTAGTGATTGCGGCCCAAATCCTGAGATACTGAAGCTCTATTAACCATTCCGCTATTGCGCTGGACTTCGAGCATGCCATGGGGAGTGGATAAAGGTACATGAAGACAGATGACAGATTCTCCCTTGGTAGCTCATTCGATTCAGCCTTCTTTTTGCGGGTGTCGAAGAATTAAATATATTAAATCAAGTACTTACTGATGTACTTGGGATTTTTATTTTATTTTGCTTAATTTCATTTTATTTTATTTTATTTTATTTGATTTTATTTTGTTTTATTTTATTTTATTTTATTTTATTTTATTTTATTTTATTTTATTTTATTTTATTTTATTTTATTTCATTTTATTTTATTTTAATTATTTGATTTTGTTTAATTTTATTCAGTTTAATTTTATTTATATTAAATTATTTTATTTTATTGTATTTTAATTTAATTTTTTTTCTTTATTATATTTTATATTGTTTCGTGTAAATATATTTTATTTTTCTCTATTTAATTTAATTTTATTTTGGTAATTTTATTTATTATTATTTTTAGTTATCAAGGTTTTCCCGCAAGCAGCTCACAGCTCCTTTGTTTATTTAATTTCTCATTTTCTTTGCATTTTTCATCCTTCACATGGTGTCGACAGTTGCAATTGTTACTTAAACGCCCTGGGCTAGGTAGGAAAAAAACTTAAAATCTAAACACACACTCACCCACACATATTTCATTCATTAATCGATCAATCGACAGCTGGAATATAAGTAAATTCATGCATTATTTTTTTATAATTATTATTTTTTTTTGTTGCAAATCATTGTTTATGCATTTAGCGCAATATTATGCAGCAGCTGCATTGCATCGTCGCATCAGCATGCCCCACGCACCTCGCTCGCCTGCTTAGCGGTATCATATGTAAATGTTTTGAAGGCGCTTAGGCGTTCGATTGCCGTCATCTGCCAATAATTAAGCGATTCACAAAATGAATAGAAGATATTTATTTATTTATTGCGAAAATAGTTTTTTTTTGTTATTACGCTTAAAACAAACACACACACACCCACACAATGACTTTGCCTTCGCTCTAACGCATTCACACTTGATTTTCGCGCCGCGTAGTGACCGCCAAACGCCCAGTGATCGCTTGGTATTTGGGCGTAAATTCAGAATTGCGCTTGCACTGTGTTTTTTGTGTGTTTGTTTTCTCTCTAAAGGTCAAATGTGATGACAGCAGCGTGGATGAAAGTACCGTTGTGCATATATAATTACAGTTGTAGGCACGAAATCAATGGGCACTACTGTACTCTATTAAATATTGTTTAACTGTACTGCATTGTGTAGGCGCAGCGGTGAATTTGATACTTTGTATGCCAAAGTTGCAGTGTGTGAATGTGTGTGTATGCATGAATTTATATAGAATTGCCTTGTGGCATGCTAATAAACTTAATTATCAGCTCAATGTTGCATTTCAGTTAGATTTTAATAGCCAAGTGTAAAACAATGGTTCTGCCTCATTGTGTTTTGGATACTTCATTATTGTTTGCATACACGTGTGTGTGTGTGTGTGTGTGTGTAGCAAATAATTATAAATTAAAGCGTATAGTGGGGTTTTATTGGCGATTCGATGAAATTATGCCATTGTATATGTAATTTTAACCCTCTTGTAGTCCTGTCGGGTCAGATGGGCACATGTAAAGATTACAACGACTTAGTTTTTCCTAAAGCCTCCCTACTCTATCTTTACAGAAGATTCCCAGCCATATTAGCGACTATTCTTTCGAGCTTCTGCAAGTCTGCGGTGTAATTGAATGTAGTCCTGCTTCTGGCCGGCCAGGCAGTTACAGTCGCTGTGCTATACTCAATTCCTACTTTTTACTCCAAGTCGCGCATCTGGGTAACGCGAACAATGCCTATGCAGGATGTGATAACTTAACTGAAGACTCAAAGTCATAACTGAAGAGGTGTCTGGACCCTAAATTGGTATGATGAGGCTCGAAATATGGTGGTTTGTAAAATCAGTTTACAGATTTAGGGAATTCATCAAGAACTCGTAACCAACAGGACCAGGTTGTGGTAGACGGCAGGGATGTATCGAGTCTTCTTCGCTCGAACTACTGTATGGACAACAAACAGTCTAACGTTTGTTTTTTCCTCGACTTCAAATTCTGCCTGCCTGATGGTACTAAAAATACGAAGTATTTTTATTATTTATTTTTGTTAATTAAATTTTATTTCATTTCATATTATTTCATCTTTTTATTTTTAATTCATTTTAATTTATTTTATTTTAATTTATTTTTGCTTATAGTATTTTTATTTCGTTCATATATATCTATTAAGTTTTATGTTTTTATTTTATTTTTTTTTTCATTTTATTTTATCTTATTTTATTCTATATTATTTTATTTTATTTTATTTATTTTATTTTATTTTATTTTATTTTATTTTATTTTATTTTATTTTATTTTATTTTATTTTATTTTATTTTATTTTATTTTATTTTATTTTATTTTATATTATTTTATTTTATTTTATTTTATTTGATTTTATTTCATTTTATTTTATTTTATTTTATTTTATTTTATTTTTTTCCTATTTTATTTTATTCAATATAATTTTTTACTTTTTTCTGTTTTATTTAGTTTTTTCTTTTAATTATTTATATTAATTTGCTTTATTTTATTTTCATTTAATTTAACCTTATTTTTTTTATTCTATTCTACTAATGTATTTTTAACGTTTTTTTAATTAATTTATATTAGATAATTTGTTTTACTTTATTTATATATTAATTTTTTTTCTTTTTATTATTATATTTCAAAAAGATTTTTTTTAATTAATTTTTGTAGTTTATTTTATGTTATTTCTTTTTTTCTTAATATATTTTATTTTGAATTAATTTTATTTTATTTTATTTTATTTAGTTCTATTGTAATAATTTTTATTTTATAAAATATTATTAAACTTTATTTTATTCTTTTCTGTTGTATGTTATTTACTTTATTTTAATTCATTTTATTTTATTTTATCTTTTTTAACTCTTTCCTAATTAATTTTATTTAATATAATTTTTTAACAATTTTTTATTTTATTTACTTGTTTTATGTTTTTATTTTAATTATTTATATTAATTTACTTTTCTTTATTTTCATTTAATTTAAATTAATTTTGTTATTCTATTCTACTATATTTAAGGTTTTCTTAATTATTTTATTTATTATTTTTTATAGTTCATTTTATTTTATTTCTTTTTTATTATAATTTGTCGTTTATTGTTTTTTTTTGGGTGGTGGTAAATCATAACTAAAATCTCAATGTTGAGAAGAAAAACTCAAACAACTCACGGAATTAAAAAGTCTGCTTTTAGGCGTATTACAGCTGAAACAGAAACAGATTAAATGCTTAGTGTTCCCAGCCATTTGAAGGGCTTTCTCCTTAATAAGTTTTAATATACTTGCACTTATACATATATGTATGTATATATGAAGGTGTGAAAGCATAAGCGTAAGCGTAATACTATCGTGTACCTTTCAGTAGCACAGAAGTTTGGGTGGGTGTGCTTGTAAGTAGCTTAAGTGTTTGGCGAAAATTCTGCTCTAAAGCTAACTAATATCTATGGATTAAAAGAAACTAAATAGAACTATGTGCTGGTGAGTGTGTGTAAGCAGCTAATTTAGAAATTTGTGTAGTGCGAAAGGAAAGCCAAGATTTGGGTTGGAAATAGTTTTTTTTATTTCATGCCAGAAATCCACTCTAAGGGTTTGACATTCCCTGCCAAAATGTGGCTGTTTTTAGGACTAAATAATATTTTTTAATCTTGGATTAGAACCCATTACCTCTTCTCTGTCCTATCATTAGTTGTGCAGATTATATAATTTTTTCCATGGATTAATGTAAAATAAAAACATTCTTTTTTCGCCTTCTCGCCCACAGCAAAACGAGGATCGCTTCACAACTGTAGAACTGCCCGCCGGCGCAAAAATGCCAAACAATAGCAACACCATCACAAGTGCAACCGTTAAGGGCACACCGACCGTCGGCGCCAGCAGCAAAACCGGCAAATCTATCAGCATCAGTATTGGTGGTGACGGCGGTGGTGGTGCTGATAGTACACCAGGTGGTCCACCGCCGCCACGTGATCCACTCGAAACGATCACATATCCACCCAACACACCGACAACACCCGCTGCCAAGGGCACAATTGGTGGTGGTGATTCCGGCGCAGCATTAATTGCACTCGACACGGGCGATGTGGGTGAACCGGAAAGGGGTAATTGGACGGGCCGATTTGATTTTCTACTCTCACTACTCGGCTACTCGGTGGGACTGGGCAATGTGTGGCGTTTTCCCTATCTCTGCTATAATAATGGTGGCGGTAAGTGTAATGTTGCTTTCTTTTTTTTTTTGTTTTTTTTTTTTGTGGGAAATATTTGATGTACGAAGTTTGCCGGCAGGAAATGAATTATGAAATTCGCATAATTACATTAACCGACATTCATTAAGTTTGTCATCATAATGCGGCAGCGTAACTGACTATCTCTTATGCTTTCTTTTTTTTTTTTTTTCTTCTTCTTCTTTTTCTTCTTCCTCCGCAGGCGCCTTCCTCATACCATTCACAATAATGTTAATTATCGCCGGCCTACCGCTCATGTTCATGGAACTGTCGTTCGGTCAGTACGCAGCTTTGGGCCCTGTCGCCATTTATCGTCGCTTCTGTCCGCTATTTCGCGGTCTCGGCGCTGGCATGGTTATTGTCTCGGCCATTGTGATGCTCTATTATAATTTAATTATTGCCTGGACAATATTCTATATGTGCGCTTCGTTTCGGCGTCAGTTGCCGTGGCAGAATTGTGAGGCTGCTTGGAGTACTGAAAGTGAGTACAAAAACAAAAGAAATGCAATAATAATCTTGATTAATATTTTTGTATGTATGTATATACATGTATATATATATGTATATTTCATTGGCATTTTATACATTAAAACTTCTCACAACGCGTCACCCTTCGATCCGCCCGCTGTCTCCAACGCCTGCGTCGCCGCCCTTATTGGTTGGCAAAGTTTTTCGCAAAATGTATTAAAGTTAATTTAATGCTGTGTTGCGTTTAGCCGATTAAGTGAAAATTATTTAATGTGTATATGTGTGTGCGTATGTGTGGGTGTTTAATTGACTTGCTTAAAATCTCTGCTGGCGCGTATGTTTAAGCGTAGTTTCGCTGGATTAGCGCAAAGCTTTACAGTTCGCGAAAATTTTACACCTACAAATACACACACACATATATGTATATATATATATAAATATATAATATATATAGAGCAATGTGTATGTAGATAAGACTGGCGTTCTGGTTCGGAGGCTCAGATATCCTCCGAGTAGCGCGCTAAAATGGAAATAACTCAAAACCCCCACCAGAGCTTGAGTTTGAGCACTTAAATGCAGAGACGCCAAAAACAGTGGAAACCTTCAAAGACAATAAGAAACAATACTTTAAGAACCTTGATTCGTGGTCATGCTGTCGGAATATCTTATCTCTTCAGCGGGAGACTACCTCTTTGCAGCCTTGCGATATTTGCTTAAGAGCTAAATCCAATATTACTACCATCCAAGAGCTGCTATGACGGGAAGAAGAACGTAACATTTGTCTTTCGAAACAGCATAATTCCTCGGTGTACAGAAAATAGAGTGACTTTGAACACATTGTTGAGAGAAGTCCATCTAAACCCCGGCCACACTTTGGGCTCGATACCAGATCGACATGGAACTGCGCTTTAGGTTCCATTGTAATGTAGAACCGAGAGGCAAATTGGACTTTGATTTGTTTGACTTTCTGCTGAAAATCCTCGAAAAAACTATTATTATTGTTGTTGTTGTTGTTGTTGTTGTTGTTGTTGTTGTTATAACCGCAAATATTCCCCGAATTGGTTTTTGGGGAATATTGCGGAAGTGACAATCCTATCGTTCCGGTGTAAAGACCCGACTGTAGCGGGAACTATTGGATTTCAGTCGTCCGTCCATCCCGAAAGACCTGCCTCAAGAAGAGACCGTAAAAAGCTTATTGAACTCCCGTTTTCCATTTTAGTTAAAAAAAATAACCTCATTCAGAGCTTGTATCCAATTTTCTGAGAGTTGCCAGTTAAAACTCCTCGCAGAAACTGGCATTGCAACTGACCGACTTAGGCGCCGTTGAGTATTCGATATGGGGCTGAGAAGTACAATTATAACGTAGAATCTACCAACATTTTCGATCCCCTGCGGTTTGTCGTAGCAATAGGCCGAAACACGTACTGATGACTGCGGTTTCCCATTTTACCGACAAAATGTACCTCGTTTCACTCTTATAGCCGACGAACTAATAACTAGCAGTTCAAGCTCCTCGAAGATACTAACAGCATAGCTGTGCAAGAAATATTTCTGAAATAGGGTTCTATGTGGTTTACATGATTACCTCACGAGGGTGTTAGATCTACATATATAAATGTCTGCCATTCTTTTCGTCTATCGGTCTCAATGGAGCTCCCCATTAAGTCCAGCCATAACATCGGTAGAGTTAGATTCAAGGCATTGCCTCAGTAACCCAAGATCCATCCAAATCTCCACCGTTCCTCACGGGTTGTAATAAGTCCAACCATAACCTAAGATATTTACGCAAGAATAGACCCGAAACCCCTACCACAATAGTAGCAAGCTCTGAAGTCTGTTATTATTCCTGACACTAAAATAAGCCTCCAACCAGATCTGGTGACCTGCCAGTTCAGATATATGATCAGCTGTTCTGAATCCAAATACAATTAAGTTCTGACTTTATCTTACCTAGATTAAAACGTAAATGGAAATTCAAGACGAAGTAACCGCCCAGTCACTCACTTCCGATTGATCTCGTTGAAAGATCTTTTGCTCCGCCCCGCAGGGATCATGAACTGATGTCTGAAGTTTCATCTCTATACCGTGAGACCGCTTTCTAGAATTATTTGGCATCAATGTTTCCTTATGTCCTTACTAAGGTCTTGTAGATGATTACTTTGACCGTGACAACCTGGTAGAACGAACTTAATCACAAAATTCCATAAATCCATCCGTCACATTTGATTCGATTTTGACTCCTTGATCCGGGGACAGACGGGTTGATCCAGGCGATCTTTAGTCGAGCTAATTGTGTGCGTGAATGATGTGTGGTTATTTTCCATTATAGTTCGCATTGATATTCGAATTGATATTACCGATGTCTTGACCAGGAACTCAGATCGACATATGCCCGTTATGGGAGCCCAACACCGTGAAACATTTATTTATCACTGACGATGGCAAGCCCAACAGCGCTCTTAGAATATATTGCTTTCCATGTCCTCCGTCTGCTGTGACTTTTAGTATACTTCAGGACTTTTAAATCCATAGAAGTTATTATCGTAAAAATTTAAGACCGTTTGATAGTCAGAATAGTTAAACAATTGAAAACAAGCTCGACAAAGCAACAGAAAAGAGCTTCGAAATCTCTTGTTTTTATGTGAAAAACTGATTGAACGAAAGAGCAAAAATGAGTAGCACGTGATCCTGTCAACTAACCTCAGTGACAGCCCAGAGCACCTCAGACAATAAATTAAAAACTCCAAAGATATTTTTATTTTTATAAGAAAAACGTCTTCCGGCCAACTTAACTCAGCGTTAACACGGAGCTCATTAAATTATCACCAACTTTTTATTTTCATGGAGAACACGTCATCCAGCTAGCTAGCTTCAGCGTCAACCCCAAGCTCGAGAGCAAACCTTAAGACACAAATAAACCTCCAGCTGCTATAGATTGAGGCGGCCCGATTCTTTCACACAGGGCCTCTTCTCCAGAGGCAAGCAGGGGCAGAAGAGTCATCTCTTGAACTCAAACCGTTTTCAAGACGCCATTTCAACTTTTTTTCAATCGCTTCAGTAGTCTGAACTCTTGATGATAATTTGAATTTTAGTCAAATTTAACAGAAGTCTTACGAAAATTAAGCCTCATAAATAATTCTTGTTGGTTGTACATACATATCTATTCCTACAAGCATGAGCCTCTCAAACATAATGAGATATTTAGATGAAAATTTAGCTACAAACAATGCTATTGTATGACTCTACCACACCACTTGCCCCCTCCTTTGCATTATCCCAGCCCTTCGCCTTTGTCAGTGGTGTTTTATCACCGTGCACAAGCGATTTCCCGCCTTCCTCCCGCTCACAGCTATCGATTGCCCAACTCGCGTGCGGAGCAAGTAAATAAAAGAAAGTCATGGAAAATGATGGAAACGGAAGTGAAAAGCTTACAATTGGCTAAGAGGAAGAGCGTTGAAATGTAGAATGCAGTAGAATAGGAGAATAAAGGAGGCTGGAAACGGACTAGCAGTCAAGATAGGCAGTCGGAGACATAAGACAATACAGCACAGAGATTCAGCACTCTTCACAGCTTCTCAGCACACATCGTCATGGGACTGAAGGCCAATGCGGCAACATGTGTGGCCCATGTAAGGGTGTGTGCACAGAGCGTTTATGAAGGTACGAGGGGAACAATTTTTTTTAAGGTTGTGTTGTTAAAAGGTATTTGCTATGCAATGCCTTAACCGTGTCATGTAGAGGAGGCCATCATCATCATCATCATCATCATCATCATCATCGTCTCAGCACCAGCTAACGCAGCTACAAGACACGCATTTCAAATTTTGCACACTGATTGCTCTTAAACGTTTCGCTTTTGTTCTACACTCTTATTTTCGTTGTTGTTGTTGTTGCTGTTGTTATCAAACAATTTCAAAGGGCATATGCAAAAGTAGGATACACTTGACGAGTCTCACTCTCGTGCCCGCTCTAAGCCTCGCTCTGTGTTGCCCTTAAAACGTTGTCAACCCGCTTCGGCGGTGAGTTCTGGACACAGCGAGAAGCGGAACTATTTATGTCTGTACATGCACAACATATGTAGTCTGTAGGTAATCTCGTTAAATTTCGCATAAACTCGCCGAGCGTAGCATAGTCGTTAGTGGGTTTTAGTATGAAATTCACGCATTGGAACGCGAAATAGTTTATACGTGACACGAAATGATTTCTTCGAGGTGAACTGTCTCACTAATGTTTCACCTGCATTCATTTTGATTCGTTAATTGCGGTAAAGAATTGACAATCTGCATGCATCAGAGCCTTTGCAGTATGTGGTCGAACAAAAGCATGAACTTCGTTGGCTGCTCGAGTGAGTGCTGGGCAATTCATAAGAAGGCGGACCCCAGCAATCACGCCAATTGATGTGGCATAAGCCTCCTTTGTATCGCACGTTTTGTGTAAGAGAATAAGACCCACGAACACCGAACCGTTTTGACCGTATCAGTTTGCCTTTCAAACTGTTCCTATTGCAAAATTTCCCAAAAGGTAGTTAGAGGAATGTTTTTGCGGCTACAACAACAAACAATAACATCACCATTAAGTGTACGGAGAGTAGCTCCAAGAAGACTTTCACAGCCTCAATAGTTGTGATCCGCAGTGCTCCACTACTACACTATTGGCCATCAGACCACTAATCCAGAGAGAAGTATAGGCCTAACCAAGGCAGTTCATTATATCCTTAGTCAGCCGTCGGCAGCCAACTCCACCTCTCTACCTACTACTACTACTACTACTACTACAGTGCTGCTAAGAGCAATCGCCTCTCGGGCGAGTGTGTCATCACCTCCCGAGGGTATTTCCGACCGAAGGCGACTTAAAGTATGACTCTTTCAGTGGCAGGCAAAGACCTTAAGACACACACAACACAAACCCGAGTGAAAAACTTATGGGAAAAAATTGATAAAAATTGCTTTCATTCTCATGGAATTTAAAAATACTGATTTCAAAAAACAAATTTCAAGAATTTCCATCACCACG